TGTGTGTGTGTGTGTGTGTGTGTGTGTGTGTGTGTGTGTGTGTGTGTGTGTGTGTGTAAATAAATAAATATATATATATATATAGGGTACATAAAATTTAAAACAATTCCTACCAATATAAGTGAAAACATAAAGTCCCTTTAAAGGTTATTCATAATCCATATACATATATCCAATATACACCAAATACGCAAAATTGTGAACAAAACAATATATCGTCGGTCATCGTCTCTTTTCAACAAATATTGTATTTGAACAATATAGACAAAATTGGTCATTTCCAAAAGGACCCCCATCGACAAGTCAACCATTTAAGCTAATCCTATCTTACTCTCATAGTAAGTATGATCATTACAGTTTAATCACAAGAAAAGAAAAGAGTAACCTTGTGAAAGAATTAACATAATAAGTAATGAAGTTACAACTTATACAACACAAACAATTTAAACAGTATCAAGTTAGTTCATATCACAACATCAACCTATTATCATCATTCACTACTTTCAATCTTCAACTACAACTTACAACATTCTCAACATTCTCAACATGGACAACTTTAATCATATCATAAATAATTTTAAACAACTAATGTATTATCATGCATATCAATTTATGGAAATCTCCTATAACAGATGTGAACAGTCTAAGTGGTTTAACCCTACCCAATCACTATGAAAGGAAAAGCATTGCAATATGAACAAAATAACAATCACTTCACAGAAGGCACAATCATACCAATATTCATGAACTTTCCTTCTCTTCCCTCTTCCAAAACATGTCACATTTTTAACTTTCCTTTACTTCTTCACACTTCTTTTCTCATCTCATTCTCTTTTCTCATCCTAAATACATCCTTAAGGTTGGCCCCATCTTGCCCTATTCCAATGCCTATACTTAACTCAACCCACACAACTCATCACCCATTGGACCAAGGCCAATACAAAGTAGGTTGAGTTGTCTAAAATAAAAACAATGTTGGTTGTTATTTGTAGTTCCTAATTTATTGAACTCTGTTTCATATCCATACTTTTTAATGGTTTTGTATGATGAATAATTGATTTGATGAATTAAAAACAATGTTGGTTCTTGATTTGATGAATTAACAACCATGTTGGTCATTTTTTTTTTCTCATTTTTTATTTATTTTCAACCTGCCAATAAACCTATAACAGGATGTATAATGGTGTGTTTGAAAATGTTGAATGGAAGTTAATTTTACACTTTCTAATACACAATCAAATTAAGAAAACAATGTGAATGTGTTGGGTATTGGGTTCCGTTCCTATGTGGAGAAAAAGCCTAAAAATTAAGAAGTCCAAATTTTTGTCTCACATAAAAACCAAGTGGAGAGGGGTCTCTTAAGCAATAAGAGAGATAAAATTGCATAGCTGTCAGGGAGAGAAAGAGAGCAGAAAATTTGGTTCACATATATAGAGTAGTTTCATTAAAATTGCGATCCCCACTTTGTTTACGGTTGGATCGGGATGGAAATTTGACAGCAGGTTCTTAACACGGCGATATTCGTTTTGACCGTTGGGATTGTCGATTGGAGGTCTGTGGTTGGAGAAATCAATTTCGTACAAATGCTCTAATTTGAGGTTTCTTCTTCTTTGTTCTTCGGTTGGAAGGCCTTGTTGCTTTAATATATCGGTTGGTTGTAAGCATTTGATTAGACTCTCTTGTACCCTAATTTGATCATAGTGGAGCTTCATTAACTGACTTTTGCCCATGGGTTTTTACTTCTCACATTGAGAGGGTTTTCCCACGTTAAAAATACTTGTGTATCTTTGTCATTATTTTTTGTCATTTATTTGTTTTGTTGCTCCTCGTTGGTTTTTGTAAGTTGGGGAATACTTTGGTGCTCTTGATTATTCTGTTGTTGTTTCCCCTATCAGAGTGTTAGATTAATATTAATGATGGCAGTGAAAGTTTAGGCAGGCTTTACCTTACTAATCTCCACAAAAGGCAAGTCATTTTTGGGTTAGAGTTTAAAGGAGATGAATTTATATATTTTCTAAATCTATCCTTATCCTTGTCAAATTTAATCGAGTTTAAGAAAAGCCTGAAAACAACCAAAATAAATTTTTTCCATCAAAATCAAGTTAGAGTCGAACAAGTGCTTACATGTTCGAGTTTATTTATCATATTCAACTAATACACTCATAATTTTCAATTCACTTTTGTTGGTGGGTTAATTCACCCCATCTATTATCAAACATGTTAATTCATTTTATCACTTTTCATTATTAATATATCATGTCTTTTTGTTACAACTTTGTTATCATAAAGTGTTCCTACCGTAAGTTTGTTGTCATCGTTAGGGTCACCGCATCCGAGATATTGTCTGCTTTGGCACTCGTTGGGTCGTCACGATTTTGTCCTTTAAAAGGTGCCTCAGTGGGTTAAGGGAGGGAGGGTTTTTATAAACTACCCTTAGCCTCGAATCCTAAGCGATGTGGGACTTTTAGAGGTATTGTTCGCTTTGGCACTCGTTGGGCCGTCACGGTTTTGTCCTTTAAAAGGCGTCTCGGTGGGTTAAGGAGGGATGGTGTTTATAAACTACCCTTAGCCTCGAGTCCTAAGCGATGTGGAACTTTTAGGCATACCGGAACAAGCCCCTCAATCGATGCTAAGGGGCAAGAGTGGCCTAGGCCCTCCTTCTAGCGCCAAATGTTTCTACCGTAAGTTCGCTGTCATCGTTAAGGTCACCGCATCCGAGGTATTGTCCGCTTTGGGCCTTTGGCACTCATTGGGCCGTCACGATTTTGTCCTTTAAAAGGCGTCTCGGTGGGTTAAGGAGGGATGGTGTTTATAAACTACCCTTAATCTTGACTCCTAAGCGATATGTGGGACTTTTAGGCAATGCCGGAATAAGCGCCACAGTCAATGCTAAGGGGCAAGAGTGGCTTAAGCTCTCATTCTAGCGTCAAATGTTTCTACCGTAAGTCCGCTGTTATCGTTAGGGTCACCACATCCGAGGTATTATCCGCTTTAGTCTCGTTGGACCATCACTGGTTTGTCTTTTAAAAGACGGCTTGGTGGGTTAAGGAGGGAGGCTATTTATAAACTACCCTTAGCCTTGACTCCTAAGTGATGTGAGACTTTTAGGCATATCAAAACAAGTCCCCCAGTCGATGCTAAGGGGCAAGAGTGGCCTAGGCCCTCCTTCTAGCGCCAAATGTTCCTACCGTAAGTCCGCTGTCATCGTTAGGGTCACCGCATCCGAGGTATTGTCCGCTTTAGCACTCATTGGGTTGTTACGGTTTTGTCCTTTAAAATGTGTCTTGGTGGGTTAAGGAGGGAGGGTATTTATAAACTACCCTTAGCCTCGACTCCTAAGCGATGTGAGACTTTTAGACATACCGGAACATAAAGTAATCAATTTTTAATTTTAAGAAATCAATTTTAAAAAAAAAGTTTGTTTTAACTTCTCAAAATATTAGAAAAAAAAATAATTTGAGTAAAACCACAAGTTATTCTCGGACAATTAGCCCCATTTTAAAGTGGTTTTTATGATCACAAAAAGCAAATTTATTTTTTTCCTTTTTTTTAAATCTCTAAAATATAACCACCAAATTATTTTACGTCAAAAACACTTTTTGTATTTTTAACATGTAATAAAGTGACTTATTCTCTAACGTAACGCACATTTACAAAAGTTGTGTATTACATTTAGTTACCATTTTCTTTTCGGTGTATCATCACATTTATCATTTAGTGGCTCTTTATTCACTATTTTACAATTCTAACAAATTTAATCATGAATAAAAGAAAAAGAGTTATAAAGCATGTGTTAAATTATGAGAATATATTTTAGCGTAAATGTAACTCCGCCTCCACCCTAATTCAGAAACTTCCTCCCCTTAGTGGTTTGAAACACAACAGCCCAACCCAAAGCAGAAAAATTAGTAGAAGCCGACCTAATAAACCAAATCGCCACTAGGAACACGCCACGTGGCAATACATGATGCACACTTGGAAAATTCATATTCATTCATGCATCTAATATTCAAACCCCACGCATTAATGCACTTCAAGTTCAAGCCGTTACTACAATATTAATTTGACCACCCAATGCAACATTGACAATTACATAAAGTAATGAGTATACATGACCAAAGAAAAAATGGTTCAACCTTTTATACACTCTCATCATGGCTTTATCAAGAAAACGTCCTTTCCATACTATATAATATATGTAATTTTGTATAATATATATACAATCTTCTTGGACCTTAGTATTTATTAAACCACAACCCCTTTACCAAACGAAGCAACAGCTTTTCCTGTTTTCTGTTCTCCAAAATCACCATTATTTCAATTGTTTTTACGCGATGGAAGAAGTTGAAACTCCTCAGTATTTTCTCTGTCCCATTTCGTTTCAGATCATGGAGGACCCTGTGACAACCGTGACAGGCATAACATATGACAGAGAGAGCATAGAACAATGGTTGCTGAAGGCAAAAGAGTGTGTGTGCCCTGTCACAAAACAACCATTGTCAAGAAGCTTTCAATACTTAACCCCTAATCACACACTTCGGAGGCTAATCCAAGCATGGTCTTCATCCAACACAGGTGTTGAAAGAGTTTCAACCACGAAAACCCCTTTAAACATGATCCATGTTAAGAAGCTTGTGAAGGGTCTCGATGCTCCTCGTGATTATTCTTTTCAAACCTCGTTGGAGAAGTTGCATGCCTTGGCTTCACAAAGCGAGAGGAATAGAATTTGCATGGCTGAGGCTGGTGTAGCCAAGGCTATGGTCAAAGTTATCAACCAGAATTTCCAAAACAGAAACACCACTTGCATGGAAGAGGCTTTGAGAGTTGTTCATCTTCTTTGGAACACTGATCACAACGGCATGAGAACTCTAGTGGGGGAGAACTTTGACTTCATCAACTCTTTGACTTGGATTTTGCAACATCATTTGGATAACAAGAAGATGGTGAATGAAGCAATGACCCTCTTGAAGTTGACAATTGAAGTTGCTGACTCAACTCTTTTAGGGAGTTTAAGCCTTGAATTCTTCAAGGAAATTGTGAGAGTATTGAGAAATAAGGCACTCTCTCAACAAGCCATTAAATCTGCGTTGCATGTGCTTACACAAACTCTCCCTGTGGCTAGAAACAGAACTAAGATCGTTGAAGCTGGTGCAGTCGCAGAACTCATAGAGCTTGAGCTTGAGAAACCAGAGAAGAACATCACAGAACTCATATTCAACCTTTTGGCACACCTTTGTTCTTGTGCTGAAGGAAGAGAACAGTTTCTGAGACATGGCGCGGGCATTGCGTTGGTTTCAAAGAGGGTTTTGAGGGTTTCTGCTGCCACTGATGACAGAGCGATTCATGTGTTTTCTGTGATTGCTAAGTTTTCTGCATCAGATGAGGTTGTTCTTGAGATGTTGAGGGTTGGAGCAGTGTCAAAGCTTTGCATGGTGATGCAAGCAGATTGTGCTTCTTATTTGAAAGAGAAAGCAAGAGAAATCCTTAGGTTACACTCCAAAGTTTGGAATAATTCTCCTTGTATACAAGTTTATTTGTTGACTAGGCACCAAAGGTGATCAATATAAACCCCAGTTACCTTTTCTAGTTAAATTTTGGTGAAGGGGTAAAAGAAATTATATGAAGATGTAATATTCTAAGAATATATAATTACAACAAAATTTAGATACAGTTTTGTTTATTATAATGTCGTTATCTTGTTATAAATCATTTATTATTTTATTATCAAAATCAAACTCTAATTGGTAAGGTATCAACATTAATGCTATAAGTATCGAATCTATGTTTTGGGGCATGTAATAGATTTTTGCTTATATACACACCTTAAAGAAATTCTAGCAGAGTAATCTCATAGTTGAAAACAAAAAAATTTATACGTGAGCAAAACAAAGGTAGTACAAAATAAATTGTTTTTCTTACTATATATGACACGTAGCTAGGCTAATTTAGAATTTGTCATCTGGACTGAGATTTGTGTTGATGAATCAAGTGTATCATTTTGAAGAAATTAAAGAAACTTTTCCTAGGCTTCTTTCAAAGGAGAAGATTTTAAGAACCTAAACAGATCAAGAGTATCGTCGACGAAAGTATGATGTGACATACGGAAATATATATTGTTTATTGCATAAGAAGTTTTACACCACTGATGAATGATGATAGTGACAGAGAAATATGATAATTATTAAAGTATATGAAAAGAATTCATTTTGTCAAATGCGTTACAAGAACAATATGGTTTGATTTCTCTGTTTTATTTTTAATTAATTATGCAACACAGTATATCACGACCAATCATGTTCGTTCGTGATTCATTCGTTAAAAAAAAAAGATCGTATCATCTATAGTTCAAAATTTCGCAAAGTAACATGTAATAGTAATTACTCAATTTGATCCGTTCACTTTTACCTTACCCTTACCTCATACTTATTTTCCTAATATAAGATGTTTGATATTCTAAAATTATGTTGATCGAAAAGATATTCTAAAATTATGACTTTAGGTTCTAACTAATCTTAATCAAGCTGGCTGACGAACTCAAACAAAGAAAACTTTTGTTTATTTTTTTATTGAAAAAAGTTATACTGAACAAGTTACGTATCCAATAAAATCATTAGCATTGAGATAATGATGAGGTTGAAGTAATATGCATGATGTTATGTGTTTAAATTCAACATGACTATTGTATATAAAAAATCATATTACATGATATTACATGAAATAAAACTTCTTTTTTTTTACTTATATATACTATTTATGACTTTATTTTTAAATGATGTGAGATTTTCAATAAATTAATATGCCCAATAGTCATATACTATTTTATTAGATAAAATTTATTAAAAATTATAAAATTATAGGTTAGATTCATTAAACAAGGTAAAAAAACTTGATTAATATATTGATTTTTAACAAAATTTAACAAATAAGAATGTTTTAAAGGATATATTACCGATATGTCTCTTTAGATAATAGACAATGCTCTTAGCTAACCTTATTAAATATACTAATAACTACACATATTTATTAATTTCAATTTTCTACATATTCCAATTCATAAAATTTTCCTATCACATAAAATTTTATGATTAATAGTTTAATACCAAATAAAAAAAATTAAAAACCATTTGGTAGCATGTCCCTCCTTCGGCATCAAATAGTCATTAGAATAATAAAGTCCTAGTACTAGGATGAATATAGACATATTTGTAAAATGTTAAGAACGTCCATTTGAAATTGGGCAAAAGAGATTCTAACTCTTAAATCTTTGTTATTGTCATATATTAAAGTATTGATTTAAGAAATATTTAATACAACTTGTGAAATATTCCAAATTATTTAAAAATATATTAAATGATTTATATTTCAATAAAATAAATGTTTAATTAAATTATTTATACTTTTATTTTTTAAACCAATTCCCGAAACACGGCTATTAACACTAGTTTTATTTGTTTATTTATTACATTTTTAACGAAGGAACAAATTTTCTATATATCTTATGCACTAAATGTATAATTTAAAAATAAACATGAAATATAATCTCTTCAATACTTTAGTTTACATGGAATGAAAAACCCTGAATGAATTTTTAACTTCCAATATAATACATATTTTTTATTGTGTTTTTATTTATTTATTTATTTATTTTACTTCTTAACCTCTGTACCTAATTATATATAAGATCTTAAAATACATGTTAACCTATTATTGTAGTAGTAAGCTGCTCCTGTGTCAATTTGCTGTGATAATATGTATATGGATTTTGATACTCCTTTACCAATTTAATATAATTAATTTGCTGATAAAAAAAAAATTCTTAAAAGTTGTTTGTTTATCATATCGAATTAAACAGTCTTAAAATCCCATTAAAACTTTTAAAAAACCTTTATTCATTCATAGTACTCTGCTGACACTCAATACATTCGTTGTACTTTAAGCATAGCAACACTTTTAAAAGATTGGATTGGATTAAATTACGCAGATGAGATCAACGACTGCATAAAAAGGGGAAAAGGTGATTGCTGCAATGAATTATTAACGAAAGCAGAAAGAAAATTGTTTGATGTTAGTGGATGAATGAATATACAAATACTCGAAACAAAACATGTGATGCATCAATTTCTTGTGTTACTTTACCTATACTTATGTTCGTATGTGATAATATTATGAGAATTTCTACGGTACCCTGTATAAAAGAAGGGTACCGATACTGTTGATGATGTGTCACCTATGTGTAAATCCAAGTCATTTATAATTTTTTAATTATTTAATATTCACATTTACGTCAGATAAATGGTTAATATGAAGTTCACGTTCGCCTTTGTTTATGGCTGCCATTTCCTTCATGTTCGCCTTTGTTCCAGATCCTCCAAATCCCTTCCTTTCATGTTAATCCCCGAATGTGAGTAGTTTCGCTGGTGATTCTGATTCTGATTCTGATTGGGATTTGTTTCGTTTCCGTGTTTGGTGGCGGCGTGCATTGCGATTGTGCTAGTGATAACTCTGTGGAGATTGCGGGGTCTTTCACCGAGGGGGTGAGGGATGGGTGGTTGTTTATCGAGTGGGTGAAATGGATCTTCCTTTTTGCTGGCGATGACGAGGGCGTGGATGGAGTTGGGTTTCATGCTGACGATGGCGTACTTGTTGTGTTCTTCGACGGTTTCGAAAGCAAGGCGGCCAATGAGTAAGCAAATGATGTTATGCTAAGCCAATCAGAATCAGAATCAGAATCACCAGCAAAACTACTCACATTCGGGAATTAACATGAAAGGAAGGGATCTGGAGGATCCTGGAACAAAGGCGAATATGAAGGGGCGACGGAGAGGTGGGAGACGGAGGGGAGAGGAGATCGTATAATTATAAAAATATTAATAAAAACTTAAAAATAAATAATGTAAAAATTTAAATATAAAATAATTTTTATTTAAAAGGCTGACATGGCATTTAAATGATGTATACATACACATCAGATACACATTAGCTACAGTACCAAAACCCCTCATTTATCGTGGGTACATGAAGAACCCCCTAATATTATTAGTTGATATTCAGCCAAAAACACGTCAATGTTTGTGTTTTTCAAATGAAAGAGACACGTGGTAAAAATAATAAAGAGATCCACTTTTTCCATACGTTAGAAGTGTTTTGTAACGAACGTACGCGTCTATGCCAAGTTGCTAACTTCACTTTTACTTTGTTAGTACAAAATAAACATGCAAACTTATGGAGCATATTTAATCAAATTATGTGATTTGTTTATTTATTTTTAGCATGTGCGTTTTTCACATGCTAAATATTATTATACATAATTAAAATTTATAATAAATTATACATATATATATATATAATATTATATTTAAATATATAAATTATATTTAAAATTTGTATAAATATATATTTTTAAATATATAAGTTATATTTTAGATATAAGATACATTTATATCGTAACACAAGATTATTTTTAATTATTGATAATTTATTTTAAAAATATTAAAATTTAATTTATAAATACATGTGATAAATAAAAATTTGAATTAGATAAGAAATTAAAATTTAAAATAATATATAAAAATGTTTCCATCAAATAATAACTTCTAAAAATATTCTCGTGCAAAAAAAAAATAATAATCATTCACATGTAATATATAGAAGTTAATTTAATAAACAAATAAATAAAATTGAATTAAATAAGATGTCCAAATAATCTTTACAAACACTTTTATTGAAGAATAACTACTAAAAATGCTCTCTTGCTTGTATTCACTTTTAATATATAGAAGTTAGTTATAGGACTTAATGGTTATATAAATTTTTTTTAAATGTGAACCAATCAAACATTTTTTAGCATGACTTTAAAAATATTTTGTAATGATAGAGTATAATCTTTTTTTCTCAAAATTATATAACTTTTAACTGAATTATCAAAAAAAATATATATTATATTTTTAAACGAAAAGTATGATTTAATCTTAAAAATGCATTTTTTTAAGTTACTATATTAACCTTATAAATATTAAAATAGCATATTTTAAATCTTTTTTAGTTTTGTAATTCTTACGATTTTTAAACATGAGTTTTAATTAAGAATATCTTTAATAAAATAATATGCATTTTAATAAAGATTAGTTATCAACAAAGTTAGAAAATATTTTACACCTAAAATATGATGACAAAAATTATTTTAATACTTTTTTTTTTCAAAAATATAAGTTTTATACAAATTAGTAATCGGGTGTTAATGAGTTTTAACCTATAATCAAATACAACCAAGATTAATAATGAATTGAACTAACATAAATATAGTTTGAAACTTGATTTGACAATACTGTAATTAAGCTTTATGTATGAAGCAAATGAACTATATATAGTTTGACTCTATTGGTGAATTAAAAAAAAAGTATAATATTTTAAAAAAATTAATATTAAAAATAAACCAGTGAATTTAAAAGTAAAAGAAGTATTTAAAGTAATAAAACAAATTCCATAACATCATAAAAATTAAAATAAATCATGAAAGTAAATTATATTTAATTATATTATTCATATCAAATAATAAATATGTTGCTCAATTGAATTTTATTCGTAAAAATAATCTTATTATCTTAATTTAAAATATTTTCTTCTATCTTTTATCTTAAATTGTATTTTTAACCTCTAACTTTTTAATTTATCATTTATATTTTT